TGGAATGCGCGACCGCTATGGAAATGATGAGTGGAGTGGTATGATCGGCGCAGCAAGGAAATTGAAGGTAAATCAAGTCCCCATGCCTCCTTGATGGCATCTAGCTAACTGTGAGCAGCCAATCGCGGACAAGCTGGGTGTCAGCCAGTCGCAGTTGTCGCTTGCGTGGTGCTTGAGGAACCCGCACGTATCTGCGGTGATCACTGGTGCATCAAGGCCAGAGCAGGTGGTGGACAACTGTGCAGCCTTGAAGATTATAGACAAGCTTACGCCAGATGTGATGGCTGAAATCGACGCCGTGGTGGGAAGCGTTCAGCTAGATCCTGCTCGACAAGATTAAAAACACTCGTTAGCTTTTGAATCAAAATCGACCTCCTTCAAAAGTGATGTGAAAGTAAAAATCTCGGCTGATAATGTCCGTATTCTCATCTGAACGCCTGAAATGCTACTAGGTCCGCACGCTATGCAATAACAACTATGGTTCTTCCTACGATCCTAACGTTTCTTGTGTTGGTCATTCTTGACTTCCTTCTCTTGCGGCAAGATCTCGTGGACCTTCATATCTAGTCCAACCCAGAACTTCCTGCCTCGCCACTCTACTGTAACACCTCCCCAGAAGGCGGTGACCCATACTGGTAAAGCGAAAATCTCGCGGCCGAGCCACGCAAATAAGAAGTCTATAAAGTTTCTCCTCGCGCCATCAAGTAGACTAGGTTCACCTGGTGTTTTGTTGCCAAGCAGAGGTTCTAGAACCTCGGTACGGTGGTATGCAGAGGCTGATCGTTGAGGCAAGATGAAGTCAGGGGTGTCGGAGTCGATCTCGACGGTCTTTGCGCAGTGCAGGAGCAGATACTGGACATAGTCTACAAGGCACCATGCGGAGAGGTGTAGAAGCCAGATCAGGAAGAAGGAGGTCCATGTTGGGCTGATGCCGATTCTGTGGAAGAAGGGTAGTGTCGTTAGAGCATATGCGCCATACAGTCCACAAACAATACTTTCTGTTCCTGGCTCCACAAACGTCGCCAACGTCACCGTGAACTTCCGTACTCTTAACCATCGAATGCGACGTTGCAGATAGGCCATAACAGACGTATGACTGATTGGCTGGAAGCAAAAGTCACCGAAGAGCATTGCATGCTTGCCCCAGGCCTCCTTGGTCGTTCCTGGCTCGGGTTTGTAGCCCCGTTCCTCGAAAGCTTGAGGTTGCTTCCACAACACATCACCGATGAGATGGTCCTCGCAGATATTGTCGGAGAAGAAGTCGATACCGGGGGCGCGATTCGGGTTTGATGAGGTGACGTAGTTGAGATGGGAGCGACGGAACATAGTACTTTTGCCCATGATGCAGGGTGCTACAGCGACTGTGTTGATGGCTTGGTAGAATTTGGCATGGGCAGAAGACATGAAAGCTTCGTCGAGACGTCCTCCGCCGCGCTGCAGCAGCTTCCTGATGGTACTGCTGGAGTGATTGCGCGGATCGGAAGACGTGCTTGCCGCGATACTAGTCGACTCAGCTACAGCTTCAGGCTTGCCTCCGAGCAATTCCTTCCTGTCCTGGAGCGAGAGACCTTGCGAGTCGAGATCTACCGTAAGAGGGGTCTGGTGAACGAACTTGTACTTTGTCTTCTTGTTGCCATGCTTGTCCTTTCCAAAACCACATAGCAGGTCCACCAATCGCCCGCAAACGCCCTTGCCGACCCAGACGTTGCAGTCAAGCACCCATACGATGTCGCCCTTGGCCTCCCTGTAGGCGCGACTCATGTTCCTGATCTTCGGATTGGGCCCCAGCGCGTTGTTGTCCTTCAGTAGCAGCGGATCCTCCTCTTCGACCAAGATCTGTACATCGGCATCCGGGAAGTCTTTGCATAGGTGCTCGAGGATCGGGAAGGCAGGATCGGAACGTTCGGGAATGCAGAACACGGTGTTCAGTTTGTCTTTGGGATACGTCTGGCGGAGGGTGGCTGCAAGACACTCGTACAATCGCGGATCGAGGCCTTTGACCGGCCGTATAACGGTGACTTGAGGGACTTCGTGCTCTTCCAATGTTGTGGTACATGTTGCCTGCTGGGGTCTCCTCCAATAGTAGCGGAATAGTTGGACGAAGCCGATGGCACAGACACTCCAAACTATCACCCACCAAATCAAGCAGCCGGTCGCAATGATAGTGCGCGACATGGAGACATCTTGTCCCGTGGCGAGGGTGGGCGCGCGAAGCATGCGCGACAATGTGGTAGGGTCGGAATGAGGGTGGGGTGTTGGCGAATCTCGCAGCGCGGAGGTTGCGGAGAACCAGGAAGCCACGACCGCCAAGACGCAGCACCACTCGACGATGTTCAGGGGTATTGAATAGATGCAGTATCACAGAGACAAGCACAGGAGCAGATGTACTGCGGCTGTTAGAAGCGAAGCAGCTTCTTGTCCTACGATCGTTTGCACATCCGAACGGTCCGACTTCACCGCCAGGGACATCCATGGATCGCGATCGTTTGTTGCGATCAGACTCCCTGCACACCGACAAAGCAGTTTACCCGACAACGATTTCCGTAAATGGCCATCTGTAAATCGATTACTCACTTTAGATTATGGACTCGTTCACTTTTCAGGTTGATCACCTGATGAAGGAAGGTTTATACAATTCGCAGACTTTCTTGACACGGAACATCATATAGCTTGTGCTTGAAATGAAGTCCGCAAGGACATATTAATACATTAAAACACTTCCATGTGAGTAAGGTAAAGATGTGTATCAGCCCCAAAACTTCGTTATACAAAATGAAGCCTTCTTGAAATCGTGTAAAATGCCATATACCGATTGAGCTCAACCTATCTCAAGTTTTTGGCTTCTTGCGCACCAGGCCTGCCGTCAAAGTGTTCACCCCATTTGCAGCGCTTGCATTGGTAATGGGTGTGGGTTCTATCTTTGCCTTTTTCCTGACTGTGCCTTCTCCTAGTATTTGCGCGGACTCTGCAGGCTTTTCTGCGCCGACCGCCGCTTCTGATGGTGTATCGGGTTTCCTCTTCTTTCGCACACCCATGACCATGGTAGGGGTCACACCATTTGTTGCATCCGAGGGTTTTACTGGAGCTACATACTCCTTTGTCCCCTTGACTGTGAAGCTCCATTCGTCCATGCCCCCGAGGACAGCAATCTCCTCTTTCCACTTCCTCGTACTTCGTGCTGCTGCCTTTCGGTTTGCGAAAGTCTGTTGTAAAAGGACCTCATGTGCGCGGTCGTAATTCTTGAGCGAGAAGCAGATGGTGCCACGTGAGGAAGCAGGCCATTTCCAGTACGGATTGTTCTCGGGAAGGTTCTTGGTGGAGCTTGAAGAGACGTTGGACGACGTCGATAAGTTTGAAGAGCTGTTCTTAATCTTTGGCAGGACCAGGGGAATTGGTCCGTACCTAGTTTTGGCCTCTTGTCTGCGTCGACTAGCCTTCTTCCGTTTTGGACTGGGCATATTCTCTTGCGAATCGAGCTGTGAGAACGACTGCGATGCTGATTGTTGCGAAGGCATGTCCTCATCTTCTTCGGGTATCGAAGGCTTGGGTGGTGTTATGACGACCCAGATGAAGCCTACTATACGCCCTGATGAGCACTCTTGTCTGAAAGCCATGAATTCCCAGAACTGGTCAAGTGTCTTAACGCTCTTCCAGTGCCCATTGCTTCTCGAAGGTGTGCCTCCATCTACTACCATAGCATCGGTACCCCGATCAGGAAGTTCTTCGTCCAATTCGTCAAGGAATCTGGCTTTGGGGTCGTCTGGAAAGTGCGGTACAAGGCAGCGCGGTGGAGCGGCAGGGTAGGGAGCGATCTGTAGGAGCGGGTGTGTGGTTACCCAGCGTCGAGGGGTGTTCGGAACGGGGGGTGGAGGGATGTATCGCAGCGTATCGTATGGCTCGAAGCCCGGTATCACCAAGTAGCCTGTGGCCGTGGACTCCGATTGGACTGACGTGCTGTCCGCCTTCGAGCCGTCATCATCAACCAGCCGCTCAGCGAACGGCTTCCGCTCTCCTTCAGCCTTGTACTCCCATATGATGGGATCGAGCACTCTGCACCACCATTTCACCAAGCCCCTGTCATCTAGCACATGCTTGTTCTTATTCTCGATGCTTGCCGGAAACAGGTATTGATCCTGTGCCCTGGCGAAGAGAGACACTACCAGCTTCTTCCCTTCCCTCTGTCGTTCTCGTGCTAGCCAGGATACAAAGGTTCCACAAATGGCCTTCAGAGGTGACGCAGACTGGGCTCGCGGTAATTGTAGTTCGGATATATAGCCTGTCGAGTCGGCTTTGGAGACGAAGATGGTCGTGAGGTTTCGCGTGGTGTAGATCAAGACTTCAATTGCCAATACAAGAAGCTCCTCGGGCAGTTCCGAGGCTGCTGCATCTTTTGGGACTATCGACGCTGCCAAGGTCTGCGATTCGCAGTATGTTCGTTCGGACTTGCCATGGGGCGGCGCGGAGAAGAGGGCGGAGGACTTGGAGGGCGGCGTTGAGTAGTGGTAGAAGGTGATGGGCACATCTTTGGGCAGTTGTTCGGCGAGCAACTCTTTCAGCGGCCTGGAAACCCCAACGCTCGTCATGATGACCCAAGAGAAGCGCAGCAAGGGGAAGCGTCGCGTATCGGGGGGCGCACGATGGGGAGCGGCAGGCGCGACTGGTGCTAGCGTCGTTGCGGTAAGGCGCGATCCGCGTGCCGCAACTTTTCGATGATCCGAAGTGACCTCCGCCAGCAGCATCACGCCCGCCCGCCGCCAATCAAGCCTCTCACACCTCGCTCACCACTTGGGAGTGCCACAATGACTTCCAAACGACCGCTCCGATCACTCGTCTCGACCGCTTCATCGTCACTCCGGCCCGCGCAAATATCCAGAACGTCCTTCGTGCGGTCCTCCGCATGCGCATTTTCGAGCACCACCCCATCGAGGTCCACGGAATATGACGCAGAAGCTACACCAGCCGTCGACAGGCCGCGATGGAAACAGACACCTCCGCGAATGATGGCGCCTCACAGGATACGGCCGAAAGCCAGAGGGGGCGTTTACCAGGTCAATGAGGACCCGAAAAAGCTGGACGATGCGTATATACGCATGTTGGGCCCCGGAGGAGACAAAATACTGGGAGAAGACGTAAAGTGGTTAGCCGTCACACACAAGAGCTTCGACCACGGAAGAAGAGGATTCAACGACCGATTAGCATACTTGGGTATGTGTGCACATTGCAAAGGCGAACAGACGGGAGGCTAACGTAAAGGGCAGGACGGAGGATAGTCGAACTACAAACAACACAGGCGCTCATAAACTCGCCGCAGGAGAATCAATGGCCAAGAGATCCCACTGGTGTACCAATCAGCGACGAGTTTGGACGCAAACCATACCTACATCCCGCCTTGAATGGGCTGCAAGGCCTGACCGACGAGGCCGAGAGTCTGGTCTTGAGCAAGACACGGCTAGCACCGATAGCAGAGCGATACCGTTTGGACAAGGTCACACGGTGGACACCCAAGAGGGTATGCTCGAACTTTTACAACACCCTAGTCCACAGGCTGACGAATTACAGGCGGACAACCTCCAAGGCTCTGGTTTTGAAACTGTCCTCATGACTTCTCTATACGCCATCGTCGGAGCGGTCGCTCTCGAGCGTGGCGGCGAGGTGGCCAACAAGGTTGTGCAAGAAAAGATACTCGCACCGCTTGGCTTCAGCTTCTCGCCCGAATCATGACCTGGACGCAATTCGATTCTGTACAAAACCACTGCCAGACTTTGTACCATATTGTAAACAAGAACCTGACATGGCGAACGTCGCGATTTTCTAATCAGAATACGTCTTCGCCATCACATGCTGTCTCTGAGGTCACGGTCACTGATATCACACCCAGTACGAATTGCCCGTTTGACGTGAGTAGACGAAGGACTTTGGGAGCATGGTGACCCTCCCAATTCGCAATTCAGGCAGACGGCTTCGAGAAAAGCTCAGGTGATTAACGGTATAGCGAAACTATCCCTCCGGGCAATGGACATATCGTCAAACGTCACGGATAATAGCAAATCTCATGCGGATGTGAACGCGAGATAATGTGAAGATTGCAGGACGCATACGAATCAAACGAGCCGCACACTGCTAGGTCAGGGTATAAATATGACACCCCCAAGAAAGAAAATAACTCTCGCGACCCGCTCAAAACGTTAGACCCGGCTTGTTCTTCCTCCAAAACATAGCTTTTGCCGCATTCACTGTCCGTGGTGGCGGGTCAAACTTAGGCTGTGCCTCCTCAATGTCCATCTGCTCCATCTTCCTCTGCGAGTTTCTTTTCAACTCCCTCTTCAAGTTGCGCTCGTCCTTCTTGCGCATCCAAGTGATCCAAATGCAGTAGCTTGCGCAAATGATGCCAATACCGCCTATTACACCACCAATCACCGCGCCAATGAGACCTTGGCTTTCCCATGCGGACTGCTTGGGGCGTTCGTAGGCTACGGGCGTGGATTTCGGGCAAAAGGTAACGGGCATGACCATGTTGTTCTTTTGAATGGCTTCAGCGAGGAAGAAGTTATTGGTCTCGTAATCCGCCATCAAGTAGACTTGGCCAAGGAAAGCGGTCCCGAGGTAAAATGGTGTGTCGGCTGACTCTTCTCGGTCTTGGATGGGTGTGATGTTGGAAGCGTTCATGAGGACTTCAGAGGGTAGTGTGACTGTAAAGCCATCTTCTAGCACTATCGAGAACGTGCCGTTGAAAGCGTTCTTCAACTTCAGAGAATTATCGCCCCATGTGTTATCCTTTTCGGCGCCCAGTCGTTTGATGAAGTTTTGGGTGATCTGATACGGTAGGGAGAACGGAAACTGTTCAGTCGTAATCTGGGCCTCGAAGTCCTCTGCCCGTGTCTTCATATCAGTGAAGACCGTGTTATCGAACAGTGATACGTTTGCGTTATCTTCAGAGTTAGTGATGACGATATCCTTGATGCGCACGCTCATCGGATTCGGATTGTCGATTTTCATGGCGTATTTGTGTGTGTCTCCCGTGAAGCGACCTGAATCGTATCCCCCAAAGACATTGCTACCGTTGACTGCGCCTCCAGCACGCTTGAATCCCTGTCCAATGTAGAGCGAGTATGTTTTCCCAGCAATGATGTCTTGTGCAGCCAGGTCCCGAAGGAGAGTGGAAGACAACCCCATACCCACTCGTGCAGGTGTGATTGACCCCGACTCGGCGACTTCGATCGTACTGTTCTCTACCAATGTTTGTGATGCACCGTCCGTCTCGAAGTAATGTGTGTATAGTCGTAAGGTCTCTCGACCGAAGAATCCCGTAAAACCCTCTTGGTCATTGTCCAAGGTCTGAAAGTTGTCGTCTTTCACAAAACTATTTTACATGTCAGCTAATAGGTTAAAGTGTCATGCCGACAGTCAAGCATACCTAGTGGAGTCGCGATCGTTATAGAAGCCCCCTGTACTCGTGGCACATTTGTCAAGAGTTGTGTTCTTACAGTAGTTACTTGACGCGAAAGAGATGTGGTTCTGTTGTAGCGATGGCCAAAGACTCTGGTTTTGTGCCGGCGTTCCTAGTCCGATGAAGGATCCATATTGGAATTCTGACGAGTCGTGTACGGCCCGCTTGTGGATGTCGACGTATATTGGTTTCTTGGTGCAGTTTGAAGCAATTGCAGACTGAGTGAACAGCAAAGTTGCGGAAAGGCATAGAACGAAAGACGCCATGATGGAAGATGAGAGACGCTTGAGTCCAGCAAGCTGAAAGCAGGTAACAAGGTGTTGGACAACGCTTACAACACCAACAGGCAAGGTGAACGACGACGATGACGAAACGTCTCAAACTCGAGTTGCGGAGGTGCCAGAGGCTGTAGGATGTCTTTGTAGGCCTCCATCACCTGTACCTTGATACACTAAGATGAGCATGCGGACAGTCAGCCAGTTAGGCAAGGGCCAAGCTATTCTTGCATGCGGGAATATCCACACTGCTTCTGCTGGACGCGCATGAGTGCATCCCTGGGCGCCATCTAGAGCCGCATGGGACTGAACCGCTGCCGAGAGCGCCTGCTGATGCCGTTGTGGAAGTACCACGACCTGGGGAGGTGCCCCCATGGGCGCTTTGAATAGAAACATGCGCAAGGAAGAAAGATGATCCCTCTCCGATGGTAAGCTTTGCCGTTGCAGAGACACTGATGATTGGATCGTTATTGTAGGCAGTTGCCCCAAGATAGCGGGCGTTTACGAGACCAGGCTGATTGGGTAGGGTTGTCTCGCGACATTCCCAAGCGCCCGCTGCACGGACCCGACTGCAGGTGTGGATCTGACACCAGTCGCTATTCTTAACCTTCCGCTCACCACAGTCTGCAATCTCAGAGGCAGGTAGATTGCGTACCCGCTCGGTGAGATTCTGATGCGTTCAAAGGAAACCCTCGAAAATAGCCGTACAATCTTAATCCCGCAAACCCGCACGACGTTCTCGTTGTTGCTCACGGGCTAAAGTTTGTCTACAAAGTGGATGCGTGCCAGCATAAAGTATACTTGGAAGACGGTGCATTGATTTTGACTCGCTTTTAGATCCAGAAGGAAGGAGCAGAAAGCCTGATTGCTCTGCAAAACATGCTCGCGCGATAGCATGACCCTTTGACGGCTGCGTAGTGTGTGTCAGGGCTGCCTTGCTAGGGACGAAGGGGTGTAACAAAGCGCTTGCACTTCTACGATGCCTACGCCATGTGGAACACGCAGTAACTTCACGCATTCGTCTCAATCGCTGCACTGCTCGTTGCAAGCATGTTGACTCTGTTCATAATGGCATTTCATGCATCACACTAATGCTCTAGTTACTGGGTTATAGCCATATGGTACATAAGATCCACTGCAGCGTGGACGCGTTGTTCATTGCGTGAATTTAACGACTTCCTATAGCTCCTGGGATAAGCTCGATTCTTCACCTCCTACACAGCGTGTAGATATGGACTGACTTTGAAATCTAAAATATCGCTTGATGATGACTTGGAGCACCTTGAACCTCAGCCTTGACCCCGTACTCCTTCACCCGCTATGCTAAAAGACTATCCCACATATTCCACAGGTAGTTGGCGTCGGGTTTTACCGAAATGTATGAAAAGTTGATGTACATTAAGAGCAAAAAGGGAAAGGACCAGCTGAACGCAACGCTGAGCATTGAGACTTTCAGGTGTTGACAAGCACCCATCGCTTCTCTTTCTCGGTAGGTCCTACCCTTGCGGCAACTACGCTCAAGGTGTTGCTGATGGCGTCCTTAGGTAGTTTTGGAAATACCTTTTTCAATGCCTCAATCATGCCAATCTTGGTCAGATCTTTGCCCTCAATTTCGGCCTTGAAAGCTTCAAGTTGCTCAGTGGGTACCAATCGCTTAGCTTTTGCAGGCTTAGTTGGAGTTCCTCCTGTTAACTTCTGTGGGCCGTTCAATGTGTTGAGCAGACCATTCATAGAGCGTTGGACCAGAGGTACCCGCGGAGGGTTCATGGCGCTCTTAGTGTCTTTCTTCGCAGCAGCGGCGGTACTTGCAATGGTCGCAGGATCCGGTTCCCAGTATGCCGTAGAAAACGGATCGATTGAAGTCATTTGCGGATCCAGCAGAAACCCCATTGAGAACCCCTTGAAGTCGGTGCATATAGCATCTGAACCATCGTTCAACCTGGAAACCCTATCGGCATCCTCCCAGCACAAGCCGGTGCTGACAGGAACTAAATCACCACTAATGAGTCGCCGTTTGAGTTGTGGGTCTTCTTCATCGTCGAGGAAACCGTCCAAGTCGTCTTCTGCATCTTCTTCGTTGTCGTCTTCGCCGTCAGAGTCAAGGTCTTCTCCTTCCTCGGGTTCATCCCATTCTGCTTCAGAGTCGTAGTCATAATCGGTGTCCTGTCGGACCCTGGCAATGGGGTTTCGTGCGAGCCGAGAAGCTTCCGCGTCGGTATAAGGCCTGGTATAGGTACCATAATACGGGGGACGTACATCCTTGCAGAAGTGTATGTACTTCATTGGGATCTCTCTGAGCATCTCCAACGGGCTTCTGTGGACAGTCAAATCGATGGGACGGTCCGATGAGCCATTCACACGTTCGATAACTTCGGCGATGGTCGCAGTCCGATGCGCTGGTCGAATCCGTCGCGGGAAAGAAGATACCAGGGTCTCTCGTGTGATGGTCTCGGTACCGGTACCGTTGTGCGCGATAAGGTTCTCTAGCCGTGTTCGCGCAGCCTCCAGCCGCTCCGGATCGTCGAGCAGAGGATTTATGGGAGCGAGGATCGTATGTGGAGGGAGGTTAAACGGTAGAAAGTATCGCTCGTAGTCTGACTGAGCGTTCTTGACGATGTTCTTCTGTGGGGATGGAGGGGCCAAATTAGTTTTGACTCCGGATGTGCTAGGTAAAGATGTGGACGAGGCAGTAGGGTTCTGGGATGAAGCTACCGCGGCCTGTCCTGGGCTTGATCCCGCCTTTGGCTTGACGAAAAAAGCGTTGAGCTTCATTTGGGACTATCCAAAGGTTAGCACTGTTCAGGTCGTACTACAAGGACGATGGTCGACTTACTCGTGCCTTCTTTGCCTTCTCCTCCTCTACCCGTTGCTGTTCCTCCTCCTTCAGACGCTTCTTCTCATCTCGTTCCTCGTTCTTCTTGCGCTTCTCCTCTTCTCTCTGTGCCTTTTGTTCTGCCTTGACCTTCTCCTCGGCCTCCTTCTGCGCCTTCTTCTCTTCT